AAAAAAAAAAAACCCTACTGTGTCTTTCTGCTGGTTTATAAGGTTCCAAATGTCTCTGAAATAACTCATTACAAACCAGATCAGAGTAGGAGACTTCGTACCCTTGTGAAGTTCACTTGCCAGGGATGGGAATGCTGGACTGGTTTCCATTCAAATTCCCTTCAGAGATAAATCCTTGAGCCCCTTAATTCTTGCTCCAGGGAAGCAGGGCATGGCAGTGCTATCTGCTTGTTTACACTGCTGGTGTTAACTGCTTCCTCTCAACTTGCCTCTGCATTCTGTCTCCTCTACAGTTCAAGTTAAACGAAATGCTGAACAGGCAGCCCTAGTCATAACATTTGGGCACTTACCTTCACTAGTGACTAATCCCTCCTGGATTCCTTTCCGTCTGGAAGTCGGAATAACCCAAGCATCGTGTAACTTTGAGAGGCCAGTCCTGATGACTGTTGGACAATTCAGTGCAGTACAAGACCCTGCCCTTACATCTTGACTACTAGGAATTCAACCTTGTGATGTGTTGAGCATGTTTCTTTTCAGTGACCCCACTGCCATATGAGATCAGACCTTTAAGAAGCCACTGAAGCCTCAGTGGTTACCTCTTGAATTATTGATGTTGCCACTTACTGAGTTATGTGTGTGTCTGTGTGTGCGCACGTGCGGGGGATCCTCGTTTGTTTATCAGAAGGTTTGGCATGAATTCTGTAGAAGAAAAGACTGAGAAAAGCCAGCAAAAAATGTAGGTCCTTGTAACAGGATCACATACATTCCACGCAGAGCCCTAGCCCTGGCCTGGTTGGGTGTCTGTGTGCAAGTGCCTCCCCCTCTGCCATATCTTGCTCAGGGAGTCCCTGTGGATGGACAAAGGCAGCAGAGCTCTTCAGTGTGGGTGCAGATGAAAAGACCTTCCGTAGGGTTGACTGTGGCTTCTGTCTTAACAACCTGGTGGTTTTTGAAGCAGACAGAACTGCATCCCATCACAACGTCTTGATCTGGCATTCATCGAGTGTGTTTAGAAGAGTGATTACAAGTCTTCTAGCTACAAAGGGAGTCCACTCATCTTTGACAAAAGGCACTGCTGGGGACTTCTGTCACTAAAGAGGTCACCACAGGATACAAAACGGAGAATGAACAGGTCTTCTGCACAAGGCACACTTAACATGTTACCATAGAAACCAGTTACTTAATTCAGGCATACACAATCCTTCCAGCCCCCAGTGAATTCCAGTAATGGGTTTATTATATCACACTTCATTGGTGTCATCTGTCACACGGACACTCACATAAATGAACCAGCCTTTGACTCAAAACTCCCTTCCACTAGCTAGACCAACAGAGGAAGGGTCTCCTTTTGGGGCTGGTGGTTATGAGCAGGTCAGTGTTCTACCCTGCTTTGCATGCTAACATCTTCCTTTCATGCAAACCTCATCTTCGATGGAGGAAAACATTTGTTTTCATTTCCTGATATTTAGCTTATTAAAAACGTGCTCTTAATCTCTCAGATCCTTGAGTGCACGTGCTGTCAGGATGCAGGTTGCAACATTTCAGTCCCTGTTCCCCCATATGATATTTGAACTGTAAATCACACTAACATCTGATGCAACGTTGTGGTAACTTCTCCTTGTGTTTGGGCCAGAGTTTTGATTTATATTAGCTGAACTGAAGGTTTGTTTTAGGCTCTGGTGTTTTGTAAATTAGAAAAACAGATGGATGGACAAGTAGGTAAAAAAGGTCTCAGTTGATGCACAAGACCCTGTGCAAGCATTGCATGTGTATGCATTTACAGCAGACCTTAAAAAGGTGGGGTTGGTTTTAGTTCAGGGTGTTATGTGGTGGTCGGTGTACTGAAGCTGATGAACACAGCAATAACTATTCTCCCTTAAGAACAGTTAAGAATATTCTCCCTTAAGGACAGGGTAAGGATTGGAAGCAATTGTTTCCCATGTAATATATAATTTCTTACAGTGATAGAAGGCAACAAGCAAAACATAAGGTACTTAACACAGTGGTCAGGATTTAAGATATGGTAGTGGGAGATTTTTCCCTGAGAAGTGTTTATAGCATAGAAAGTTTGGTGTTGGTTTTGTAATGCTTCATATGCAGCAAATGATGTGTAGGCAATTGGCAGTGAATAAATTACTCTGTCTCCAAGACCAGAAATCATCAATAGAGCAAGATTTTTGCCAGAAGAACTAAGATGGGGAGACCTAGGATCTCAGATAGAGAGATTCTAGCTGCAGAAGTACTTGGATCTGAAGAGGAGCAAGCACAAAAGTTGTCTTTTCCAACCTAGTGATTCTATGATTTTCATTCACAAAAGAATCTGCTGCGTCATACTGCTGACCTGAAAAGCATAATGCTTTTGCACCTTTGCCGTAGTGGAACTTCATGGTTTGATTAAGAGGTCTCTTTAAAGTCTGTCCGGAACTTCAGCATCCTTTTGGGTTAATGTGCTGTGAAACAGTATTTGCCTTGTTTTCTGTTAAGTTGCCATACAGATTCCTGTGTGCTGCTTTAAAGCTTCAGCTCTCTGTCCCCTGGAGGAAGCAACCTCTGTATGTATTTTCATGTAACAGTTCATGAAAGTATTGGGATCTGCAGGGGTACGAACTGTAAATACATGACTGTTCTTACTACTACTGTTGTTTTCTAACATATACTACCACGGCTTTGATTGATTAAGCATACACGTATTCATTTCAGTGTAGTTGCTGCCCAAGTTGACAGAATCATTTTGACACTTGTAATCACAAAGGCTTGTGTTGGATGAATGTTTTATTATTTGATTTTCTGCCATCCACTTCTCAGATTTGTTGCAGCAGCAACACATGGTCTTAGTGATATTCCCCAAGGTTAAGTAAGCACAAAAGCCAACATAGTGCAGGGCAGCAGGGTATACTTTACTAAAGAAGGAAGAGTTGTTCTGCATTTAGGGCCAAAGCATTTGCCTTAGACCCTGTATTCTGTCCCTTACTCAACCAGAATTGTCCTGTTTTACCACAAAATGCTTCACCTTTCTGTGCTGCTCTTTCCCCATCTGTGAAATGACAACAGGACCATTATATGTGTGCTGAAGATCATTAAAGGGATCTTGCAAAGTAATTCCAGATTTTTGATTGGAAGGCACACTAGAGTGGGAAATTATACTCGTTGCCTAGATTCTGTATTGACGTGGCAAATTGTAATCTCTACAGAAGACATTTTCAACCAGAGTGGGAGTTTCACACTCACTAGAGTGGGAAATTATACTCGTTGCCTAGATTCTGTATTGACGTGGCAAATTGTAATCTCTACAGAAGACATTTGGATGTATTTGATGCAAATGTGTCATGATAGCTGACCAGCAGAATCACTACTCCAGGAACTAGGCAATTTAGCAGTCAGGTGATCTGCTCTGGATTTCCAACACGCAGAGATGTTTCCCAGCCTCTTGCACAAAGATGAACTCAGTCTCTCCTTACTGCCGTTTCCCTCTCTTATGTGTAGTACGCTAGTTTCTTTCAAGTGCATTTTGCAGTGCACTGCTGAAACCAGAGTTTTTTGAAGCCTATCTGGACCATTCACCTCACACCTGAGCTTAATTTGCAGCAAAGTATTACTGCCAAACCTGCATGATCACTTCCAGACAGGGAAATCAAGAGGATTATGACTTCTCTAAGGAAGACAGAAGAAAGTGAAAGGAGTCCAGCCCCTGTTGTGACTATAGCAATGTCTTATTATCTCCCTCTGTGCCTTTATGTCTCCTCTATAAAACAATATCAATGGTATTTACCATCTTTCCCAACTAAACTGTTTCAAGACTGAGGAATGAACAGGCTTATAACTAAACTAAGTATCTGATTACTTAACAGTCGTTAATGTTCTTGACAGGGGAATTTATCAGAGCAATTGTACATTTATTTTAAAAGAAAACCTTCTGCATATGCTTAATAACACATCAGAATATTCATACCAAGTGAGGGCCTTTTCTCACTGTTGAATAATGAAACCTGGCTGCTCACTTCTACTTCTGTTCCTAAATAGGTTCATTTCTGGATCCTATGGCTTGATACAGTCAGAGCTGTCACCCCCAGCAAGAAAAGTTACATTAAACTTAGGGGAAGGCTGTATTTAGAAGTCATCTAACCAACTAGGACCTTTTAGATGGATAAGAAAATGACAGACTGCGTGGTTCATGTCACCCTAAAGTAGGAAAACGGTTTGGATAAAGCACTCTATAAATGTGTATTTCCCTGCATCTATTCTGTTGGATTTCCAGTTCAGTTATTGGCATCTGCAATGTAAAATTAGGCAATGTTAATCCTATCCTGTGCAACTCTCGTAAAAGAAATTTGTTAAAGCCTTTCCACTAATTTTCATTGATGTATAATTTCTCTTCTTCTTCCTCTTTATTTTCTAAATGTAAAACCTTTGAGGAGGGGCTACCTTTCTTAATTTATATGCACAGTATCTCTTTGAGCACATACTTCCTGATTTTCAGCCAGTCTTCAGCTGTTTGACATTAAACTTATTCCACGCTCCAGTTATTGCTTACCTCTCCTCTGGTGCAGGGTACTGCATCTGAATACCTGGAAGTGCACATGGAACCCTCCTCAATGAGATCATCCTGGAGCCCAAAAGTTGCTGTACAGTTGACAGAGAAATACTTGTAAGGCCTCCAAGTCTTCCCATAGTCCTGGGATCTTTCCAACACCATTGCAGCTGGGCGAGGTGACTTGAATACAGCAATGACATGGGTCAGGTAGAACTCTGTTTCAAAGTCCATTCTGATTTCTTCTCTGTGTACCCCTTGGGCAGACTGCCACCAGGAGATGGGGTTTGCAAAGAAATCATCTGTCATGTCAGCGGGGAGATGGGAGTTATCAGGCTGGTTGGCATTGCATTTGGTGCAGCGAGGCTGCCCACAGCCTTGGGAGACCTGATGGAGGAGATTCTGGTCTGGGTAGAAGCAGTACAGTTCTGTACTGTTCTGGCCACATGTGGTAAGGGTGACTGGTGTCCTCCCGGTTGCGAGGTTTCCCACTGGAGGGTTGCAAGAACGGCCATTACAGCGAAAGGCTCGTAGCCTCATGGGATCTGAAAGACAGGCAAAAGAAACACCACGAAGTAGAATTTCTCAAACAGCTCTCAGGCTATAACACAGGTGACTGTTTGGAGTCCTCATCTGGGGATGGACCTGCCAAAGAACTACTTCTAAGGAGAGCTATTTCATCTTTTCACATAGAGTTTAGAGGGAGTTTCTCAACAAATCTAGTCCTTGGGTTTGGTGCCTAACTCAGAAACTGAAGTCTTTAGAAAACTCATGTTTATGGCATTTAACTTTGATTTCTGTTGACAATGTAGTTCTGTCAGTCTATTAAATTTTATGTTTAACCACAGAAATCTTGTGTTTTCCTACTTTCATTCTTGTTAAGCTCTGTATCTGAGCACTGAATCTATTCAATGCATTTATTTTCATTGTTACCAGGAAGAAAAGTCGAACTGTAGATACATTAAGAAAAGAGATGATTCCTGCCCAACAAATTACAAACATTAATTACACATAAAAACACATAAAGAAAACATGTATTTCTGTAGTTATACACTTATGCATTACTGGCATAATTTTGAGGGGTGTTGAGTTTCTACTGTTCTTACTGAAATCAGGTGGAGTTTTTAAGACTTAGCAGAGCTGAAAATCATGTCTCTGTTGTTTAAATACCTTGACATGGAGGTAGGTGACTACCTACCAAACTCTTTGCCAAGTTTGCAAATACTGGCAAAAGTTTTGTTATCTTGAATGCATATACCTACTTATTTCTAAATTAAGAAAAGGTAGGGTTAACTACAAAGTCTTCACATTGTTTGGACATCAGTAATGTCTTATGACACTGGAATTAAAGGTCAGTCCCAAAACCGTATTACCCTACTGGAGAAAACTGCTTTTCTAACGACATTCAGTGTCCTCTTTGCAATTTAACTGTCTAGAAGGAGTTAAAGACTGACCTCACAAGGTCATAAATCTAATCCAAGAGGTCACAAGTCAGATGACTCAATGTTAGTCCTACAGGAAACGACCCCTCCAATGAAACATAGGATGACTGTAAACCTGGGTATCTAGGAACAGTTCAAAGCTTAGCTCTCAGTTCAACATTTTAAGTCAAATTTTAAGATCCCTCCTTGGTTTATATTCAGACTTTCCTCAGGCAAAATTAGTTTAAAATCAAAGACTTTTTGATTCAGCCTTATAAAAATACTTAAATTGTAAATATGCTTGGGGAAAAATGATGTCCCTCTTTCCAAAAGAATGTTAAAGGTGAAAAAATGTATCCATCATGCATGATTTTGCCTCTGAGTTGCTTCTGTCCTTAGTGACATTTCTGCACAAGCCAGAAGAGAATCATCGAAGTTGGATGTTGTTTTGGAAAACACCTCACACATTTTGCTTCCCAGGAGTAGGACACAAACCAAAGTTGCTGTATGTCCACTGAATCCCACTGACCAATGGTGTATGCCATTTTACCTTACATACAGCATAGGTTAGTCTTAGATAGCAAGGAAGCAGAACATCCAAAAATCCTCTTGACTACTTTTTGAAACAGGTGGAAGCCACCTTCAAAGGATCTTGGACTTAATGTATGTTTGTCTTACAGACATTTTAAGCAGCAGCCTCAGGGACAGAGGGGCTGCCTGCAGACACAGTGGGTTTCCTCCTGTTCAGGAGAAAAACTACCCACCAGTAGCTGGAACGGGCAGGCCAAGGTTTATTTTAGTATCTTGGTGAAGTCCTAGGAGACTGGCAGAGCTTAGAGGGCAGTAGTGCCTGATTTACATGTGCCTCTAATGGTCTTTAGAGCAAAGGAATGAATGGTGTCCCTCCTCAGCAACACTGTTTTCATGAGAGGAGGGGTTGCAGAAATCATATGGAGAGGAAAGGGGAGCAGATGGGGATGCTTGGCTCTATCAGTTCTGTTCTTTGCTCCACAACTTCAACTGAGCAGGTGATTCTTAGCACCACTGTAGATCCTTCACCAAGCCCTCACACCATCCTGATTGCTTGATGGACATTTCAATGTATTTTCTGTCTGATTATGAACTTCTTATTCCACCTGAGCAATACAGTTGGAATACCAGGAGTTTCAGAGGTTTTATCTGGGAGTTTCCTTGAAATTTCTCCGAGTCTTCTGGTCCTGATAAAGGACTCAAGTTTCCACAAAAGTTTAGAGCTTCCTCCTTCATGCAGATTATCTGAAATTCCAATTTTTTTGTCTGTTCTGGAGGGTGAATTTCACTGAGTCATGCAGAATTCTTGAAATAAAGATAAATCTATCCTTGGAGGTCAGCAAAAATATAATGAGCTACAACCGCATGCCTCAAGAATGTCTTTGCAAGTGGCATTCAGGTTCATGTTCATGTCCAAGGCGTTTGGTAAAACTTACTGGAAATAAGGAAAGCACTGCAATTTCTGTGTTTAAAGTAGATCGGATATTAGCTGATTTTGCTCAGTGCTTCAGGAAGGTGTCATCTTTGCCTCCAGGGAATTTAAGCGGGACTGGTCTTACAGCTGAGCTTTGAACAAGCATTAGCTCTGACTAGGAGTCAGGTTACTTAGTTTTGATTAGGAATGGGTCCATGTTACAAATGCTATTGGATTATGGATAAATATAGCATGTAATTAAAAGAAAGTCCATCTCTATTGATGGATCACACCACTGGAGCTTTCATAGAGGAAATGGGATGCTGGAGTTCTAAATATAAGGAGTTATATAAAGGAAGCTTGCCAACAAGAATGTGAGAAAGTAAATAAGGAAACATTTTTTAAAGGGAATGGCTGGGGTTTTTTATTTCTCATAAATGGGCAATTAGTCTTGTATTGAGTTTTTCAGCTGCTTTTATCTGAACCTGGAAAAGGATGAAAAATATGGTTGTTCTCCTGAACAGCGGTCACAAGGTTTATCTGTTCTGCCTCCTAATGCAGCAACATCAATAAACACCTCCTGTCTGAACTGCTGTGTCATTAAGAAAATGGGAGAAGAAGAAAGTGCGAATTAGCAGAAGGGAGTTTGAGAAAAGGAGAGGGATTGGAAACCAAAATCTTCAGTCGATTAAAAGGTCTGCATTTAAAGAAATCAATTGGCAGAACAGTGCTTGGCCACAAGGATAGCACAGCCTGTCCATCACTCACTGATTCTGTGGAAACAACAGGAAGTGTTGAATCTGGACCATGAGGGGGGACTGCTGCAGAAGAGAAACAGCAGCCAAGCGGACAAACTTACCCTAACTGCCAGGAGGACTCACTGAATAATTCGTAAAGAACTAAACACTTTGATTGCGCATGGGCATTGCATGTTATTGAAGTTGATTAGATTTTACTCCATGGAGGATGGCTGGGCTCCATAAATGGTACAACTAATTTATTTGTTTGTTTTCTGGTCCCTCAGAGCTATGCCACAAAGTGACAGGTCAGTGGCACATGCCCAGCACGTGTTATAACAATGGTGTTATCCGATGATTAGGGAATCATACAGCTCAAGGGAGGTCATACTATTGATATTCCTGGGACACTGTTTCAAGCAGAGATCTCTTACTTCAGAGCCTTGTAATGCAACAGAGAATTGTAGACATTAACTAAAAACAGGTTCAATATTTTTAGGGTTTTTTTCACCCTCCATGGGACACCCAACAGAAGAAAGGTCATATGGCCACTCAGGCAAAGCCTGCTGATGTGACTGGAAAGATGCCTAATATTTTCAGAGTGATTTGAATTGGAATTTTTATTTCTTTTCCATATGCAAATCTATGATTTTGTATGGTCAAGTCTCCTACAGTGAGACAGGAGAGTGAATTTCACAGTTCTGAGCAACGCATAACCTTTGGGCATCTTCTGTTAGGTTTTTGATGGAGCATTTTCAGCATGTATGTACAACCTGGATTTTTCTTGTTCTGTATCTATTCAACTTTTTTCTTACTAACCCAAAAAGTTTTAAAAGTTCCTTTAAAGCTAACTACCCTGGGGACATGAGTTGCTCAAGTTTTTATTAATCAGACCTAGAACTTTACCACTTTATGCTGCTTACATCCACGCCGCTATACAGCCCTTTGGGTTGTCTGGGGCCAACATGAAATGTTTGGCAAGTCTTCATTCATTTATGAGTAGCCTGATGTATTTCTGCATTAAAATAGTCCTAGAAACTGGAATTAATGAGCCAGCTAAATACCCCAAAGGTGAAGATCTGAATATGCTATGAAACCAAGTTGCCTTCATGACCTGAGGCATGGACAGAAGCAGAATGAAAGCCCAGGTCTGGGCAATATTCCATTGTGGCCAGTTCCAGTCTGCCTGCCTGCATCCCCCCTGGAACACAAGGGGCTCCAGATGAGTTGAATAACCCCAGACCACAGAAAACCAAACCCTGCTGATACCCAGCTCCCACGATGGACCCCAGGCCCAGCACTGCTGTGGCCATTTTTGACTACCCTATGGCCCCTTTCGGTGGGCTGCCATGGGGGGAGAGCCAGGCTGCTCCCTGGGGTGGGCTGGGGCTGAGGCAAGGGTCTAGGCTGTTGGCAGTCCTGTTACTTGTCCCAACACGTGAGAGGTTTCAGACCACAGCAGAGTTTATTTAGAGGAATAACACCCTCCACCTGCATCAGACTCAGGGAAGGATCTCCCGAGTGTCACATCTTACCATATAAAACATAGATGGCTCCTCCAGCCTAGCCACTGAGGTTTTGTTTTTTCCCTTGGCATTATATTTCAAGATCTAAGGACCCAATCTTGACAGCCCTGACTGACTTCTCTGTACAGAGATGGCACAAGGCCAATACTGTACTCCTCTCAAATGTGATACTCCATGTACTCCCTACACAACTGTCCCATCAATTTGTCCCACTTCTGACCAGTAGGGACCAACTATAGGGCTGAAAAGGAAGTTCACTGTATGAGCTAATAAAGTATGTCAACAATACATTTCCCTCTACACCTGTCTGCTCAGGAAAAGGCTGACTTCCATATCATTTTACACAGATTGGCTGAACACTGTCTGAACGAACCTTAGTTCTAAGCAATACTGACCCTGTCTGTAACAGGACCTGTAAAGATTCGAGGTTAATTCAAGAGTTTTATATTGTTTAAAAAAAAAAAAAAATTAACAGGTAACCCTTGTGCTGTCACAGGCTGATGGTTTGTGCAATCTTTTGACCAGGCAGCATAAATTTATTTAAAGTAGCGTTGAATACTTAGTGTCATCACCTTCAATATCCAATTCTTTTGCTGTTATTCACTATGTCCTACACCATTATTCTGAGTGTGTTTACCTCAATACAGAACACACTCCCTCCCCTCAAATGCACTTTCGTCAGCTGCGGGCTGGTTTCCTTGAACACTGATTTTAATTTTGTGAATTGGATGCAGAGCAAATTTAGGCTATATTGTAACAGGCTGCTTTCTGCAATAGTATCAGAATTTTACAAGACATCTCTGTAGCCTTTCTGTGCTACATATCAACATATGTACCCTAGAAGGAGAGTCCTAGCCTGGGAAACGAGTGAAAGCCCAAGACAAGGCACTGGGGACTAAGGTACTGGGTGCTCCCTCCACTCATTCCCTGTAATGTTTTGATAGCCAGCCTTCTTCCCAAATGAGTCACTGGATAATGTGACAGGACTGTAAATTCCTGTGCAGTTTTCAGTTTTTAAGAAAATAACTCTTTCAGTTATAGAAAACTGATGCCTATGTTATCAAAAAGGTTCAAGCTGGGGAATAATCTGAGCTGAAGCTACCTGCTCTGCCTTTGGCTTGCAGGGTAGCTGGACACTTCACTTGCTTTCCAATTGCTGCATGCAGAGTGTTGTTCCTGTCCTGATACTCTGAGCACACAGGTGAAATTTAAACCACTGGGATGCTCTCCTGTACAGAAAGAGAGATCCCAAGCCAGTATCTCAAAGGCAAAGACACCAAGGATGCATTGTTGTTTCATCAATACTTATTTTTATTTTTCTGACCTGATCTGCATAATTCATCCCTTTTAATCTTAAAGATATATTAAACCACAGCAAGAAGAAAACAGTCTAATGCTTTGCTTCCTTTTTCTTAAGGAATTTGTGTCCATCATAATTCAATTATTTTTTAAGACCCTATGTAAATACCATTACAGCTGTATCATTCATATATGTGCTTGCTTTTACACCCACATATACACACACAACTAATCAACTTCTCTTTCTGTCCTAATCCATTTTCTCTCCAATGCTACTTTAATGTTGTCCACTGCATGTTAACTGTTAAGTCAGGGAATACACTGAATGAATGGACTGTCTTTGATAAACAGTAATTCCTAAACAGTGTCTCTGACTGTTAATGATGCAAAAGGAAGTTAACAGAGAATAATTCAGATTTCTACAGTGATCTGTCCAAGGATATTGTAAATTCACTCTTTTCCTGCCTAGGAAGGCAGTGTTTCATCCTCAAAACAAATATCCAGCATATGTCAATCCATCTACCTCTTCCTTTCTCTCTTACTTTTCATTCGTTCTCAAAAAAAGTACACTTTTTTGTTTTAAGGATATGTGAAACTGTACATCCTATTAGAAATCTTTGGGAGGAGGCTGAGCTGTAAAGCTGTGTATTGCAGGGAGCAAGAAGCACTTGTATATCTTGACTAATGCAGATTACTTTTAAAAATCCAATCTAAAATAAAGAGGTTGACGTACTTTTTTTTTTTTTAAACAAACAGTCCTGATTTCTATCCCTTCTCCCCTTGCTAAAGTTAGGATAAATTATTTCATGAATGGCAATATTGATTTATTTTGCTTACCTGCTTCCCCATGGCCAGAAATAAAATACTGCAAGAACACAATCAGCATGATGCCTTTATGCTGCATGGCTGTCAGTAAAATATCTGTCCTCAGTGAAGCAAAAAAGAGCTGCAGTAATCTACAGGTTTGGTGCTTGCATGGCTTTTCTGTATTTTCTTTCTTTCTTTCTGCTCACCTTCCTCTCAGTGTAGGGGTCAAGGCTGCTGTCTCATTCTTCTTCTCGTTTGGGTCCAGAGGTGGGTTTTTTTTCAGGGCTCAGATGCCTTCTGGGTGTCACCCGTACATTGCTTCCAATAAATAAATAAATAACAAGGATGTTCAGTGTCTTTACCCCTCTCCATGCAGCGGGCCGGGGGCGTTCACATCGCTGAGGCAGCCCCTCGAATGCAGCATCGGGAGCGGACGCGGCGCGGAGAGCTCTTTTCGGTCCGGTCCTTGGCGGCTGTTTGGATGCTATTTCGAAACTTTCATTTCTGCTCCTTGCTTTTGGTGGAGCTTCGTTTTGGCTCTGCCTGGGTTCCCCCTGGCAA